CTTTACTTATACCCGTACCGACTCCTAACCAACTAAGTAAACGTAACCCGTACCTCCGCTCGTCTACTCGTGTATCCTCCTTCCTTTCTTCTACTTCTCTCTCTCTCTCTCTCTCTCTCTCTCTCTCTCTCTCTCTATCATACACACACACACACACACAAACATGGGCCTCACAAATAGGTTAAACATACCATCTCATCTCAAAATCCATTCGGATGATAGACCTAAAAAAAATGATATAATTTGGACCAAGGTTTAAAAAAACAGATCGGTGACTCGGATCAGTCACTTCAAAAACTATGTCGGATTGGTGATCTGGATCGAAGAATTGGCCAAATCGGTGGTTTTGGCCTTTAATTTTTCAAAAAATCACTAAAAAATTTAGTTTCTTATGTTTTCAAAGAAATTTGGGGTTTGCATTGTACATTTTCACTATTTTATTGAAAATATATAAATACTAAAAATATTTTTCATTCCTGAGTATTTGTTGACCACTACATCCATTTTATAGTCAAAATGTAGTTTAGAATGCAACTCATTACAACAAAAATAAATCACTTTAACTCAAGCTTTTTAATTTTTATAATCACTTTATCAATTGTGATTGTAAAAATATGGGATCTTGCCTCATTTCTTGTTGTAAAGAAAAAAAGATAAAAATTACAGGTGACATAACCTTAAACATTTTCACGAGCAAGAAATAAATCAGGATTAAATAAAGGAGGCGGTTAGCATGCGGCCAGCCCGCATATTGTAGAGATGCGGGCTTTGCCATAAATATATTTTTAAATATAATTTGATCCTAAATTTTAGAGAATATATAATTTTTAACATGGAGATCATGAATATGAAAAAAAAAAATAATTTGAAAATTAAAAATAAGAATTATATTAAGAAAACATTTGTATCGTTAGTTACAATTGTTTTTAGATGGACCACCTATTTGCATCCATCTTTAAGATGGATGCTTTATACCTCTGGGCTGCATATTTTAGAAATGCGGTCCAGCCCGCATGAAACAATTGTTCTTAAATAAATAAAAAATATATAGTGTAGGATATAAACAAAACAAAAAAAAAAGCAATATTTAGCTTTGTGTGGATAAAATATTAAATATATTCAATAGCTATGTTAATATATTACATATACTATAGTCTCTCTCACAAAAATAAGTAACGCAATGGGTCGAGGAGAAAGATGTCCCACATCAAGGAGTTAGAAAGACGATGTGCTTTATAAAAGTAGTGTTTTCTCACAGTAAAGTACAGAGTGGTTGTGGCCTCTTATGTGTGCATGTGGAGGTGCCAATTTTTGGAACTGGGGAAAAGCTAGACATGTGGAGTTGCCACTTTTAAACTTGATAGTGGGGAAAAGCAAAACCTGTGGAGGTGGCAAACAAGTCACATGGAGGTTCAAAATTTTGAAAATTACAAAAGTATATTGGGGAACCGGTTATGGTGTGAATAGTACATTTTTTTGACAGAACCGGTGTGGACTAGTTAGAAACTGGTATGGACCGGCTCGAACCTGCAGGTTCTAGGGCGGACACGACCTGTTCTCGATATATTCAGAGAACCGGATCGCCCTGAACAATTTTCGATTCGGATCAGGCGATTCCGATCCGGGTCGCTGAATTTTAAAACCTTGATTTGGACAATGGAAAAAGTAGGGAGGGGGTTAAACACCTTTTCCTTTTAACTTTGATGGGTTCCATGGGCTTTCCTAGACTTGAGGGTTTATTTGTGATTATAATCAATAAAGAAACTCAGCTATCAGAGGCATACTCCCTTGGGGTTTGGTCCAACAGCTGATGAACACATTTCTCTTAAAACTGGAGTATAGTAAGCAAGTAAGGCAAATAGAAGTAGTGCTTTTAATTCATGGCCTTTGTTGGCAAATAGAAGTAGTGCTTTTAATTCATGGCCTTTGTTGGACAGTCTTGCTGGCATCTAAGTGATGTGGATATAAGGAATATAAATAATTCTTGTAGTGGAAAATCTCCATGAACAAAGTGAAACAGCTTCAGTGTTTTCTATTCTTTTGTTGATTATGTGTTCTCTTTAAATTTATCCAAGACCTGATTGGGTCATTCTTTATCTCTTTGATATTGGTTTTGATGACATCCTTAAACTTTTTATATGGGGCCTTAATACTTTTGATCCTCAAGCATATCCCTTCTCGAGCCTAAAGCTTAACTTCTTTTTCCACACTAATGCTAATTTATATTATTTAGGAGACCCCCACTTGCCATGAAATTTAATGTTCCATACTGAATCTGGTTTATTCATGTTTGAGCTGAATGAAAAAACAATATCATGTGGTTTCCAAGCAACTAAAATGCCAAAATATCCTAGGCGGTAGCATTTAATCTTGGAAGTCATTTTGTGATGAACCTCGAGAACTTCAGTGCAAAAAGCATCCTCTTTGTTTACCATCATTGCTAATTTCTTTTCTTTTACTGACTAGGATTGTTTTCTTTTCTGAAATCCATTCTCTAATGAGATGTCTGAATGGACCATACCATAAACTATATTCTGCTGTTGAGAATATTATGGATTCTTTTTCTTGTTGTATGCAATTTGAGATGCCTGAATAATATCCTGCATGTTTATCTTGGTGGGAATCTGGTGCAGGTCAACAATAACTTCCTTACAGTGGGAACAGCAAACAAAGAAATCACTGTAATTATCTTATCCATTCTCTACAGATTTCAGTTTAAATTTGACAGTTAACTAAAAAATATCGGTAATCTGAAACTGTAGCTTTAGATTATATATTGACAAATAGTCATTACAATTAGTTGACTTTGAATTGGATGGCGCTTGTTGCTGATTTTGAATTTAAATCTTGGTCTAGGTGATCAATTTTAGTACAGGACGAGTAGTAAACAAGGCTGTCTTTGGGAATGCGATTACTGCAATGGACAATGACCATACTGGTCAGCTTATTTTTGCTGGTGATGCTCAGGTTTGATAATTTATTCTCCAGTATCTTTCATATTCGTGAATGGAATGCATGCTCTATCCCAATGGACAATGGAAGAAGCCTAACTTATTGGGTCATCACCATGCAATGAAAATAATAGGCAGAGCGAGTGGTTCCCACCATTGGTTCATACTCTATCTGATGGATCCCAGTTTCTCCTTCCCATCACTCAATGGATGGTGATTGCTCAGTTCCATTGGCCAAATGGACTATTAAATTCCTGTTTATGATTATGTTGTAATCATCTGTATGAAAATCACAGGGTTTTATATATTCTATCAGTATGAACTCACATACAGGTGCATTATCAAAGACCCATCGAAATCGTAACAACACGCGCACTTCTCCCATTACCACTGTGCAATATCGTACCTTTTCACTGTTGGCACGGGGTCCTGTTCTTCTTGCTTGTAGTCAAGATGGCAGTCTCTTTTTCTTCAGGTCTTTTTTAGCGGTCTTTGTTATTTCTTTTGATAATTTTCTATTTTTGGTGGGCAATGTGAAGGAAAAGCCGAGTCCGGTCCCTTCACTCCTCCCCCAAGACAAATGAAAGAGAAAATATAAAAAGTAACAGAAAAACAATGCTTCTTGGTGTTTGCTCATTTGATCCATTGAGTTTTTTATCCCTTTCATATGTGTTGTTGTTCTAAGAGAACTTTTGATTATGCAGCGTTGCTTTAGAAATACAGGGTTACTTAACCCTGCGGTGCTCACTCAAATTGGCTCCTCGGGTACACAATATACATGCTTCCTTTTGTCCATTGCTTTCCCTAGAGAAAGGAGAGTTTGTAGGTTTGTATTCCATATTACGAATGCTCTTTGATTGCTTGGAACAAAAAATATGTTTGTTTATAGAACATTACTGTCTCAAACATAAGTGTGTGATACAAATGAAACATTTAGTATTTTGTCCTACAAAGACAAAATGACAAATTAAATTTTCTTTGGGGCAGTAGGCTATTAGCAGATTGCCTTTAGCAATGTTTCTATGGATTCACCAACTATAAGATACGGCTAAGTGCTGTTGTGCATTTCTTAACATTTTGCAGGGTTTAAATGCACACCAGATTGTATTACTTGCACCTACTACATTGATACTTTTAATTGCTCTAGATGCTCCTAAATGCTCTGCATTTTAGTTTTATCAAATTACTATGTGGGGATACATCCATTTCTAATATTTGACATTATTTTTTTGGTTTTCATGGAAGTCTCTGGGAGTGAGGACTCGAATGTATACTTCTATGACCTGACTCGTCCAAAGCACATATGTGTGAACAAGCTGCAGGTTTGGTTTTTCACATAATGTTCTGATTTGTTATTGGATGTCATGAGCTTCTGTGATGCTCAAAGGTCTTGTATGGGTGTAGGGACATGGTTCTCCAGTCATAGGTATAGCTTGGAATCATGGGGAGAATCTGTTAGCCTCCTCTGATTCAGATGGGACCGTAATTGTTTGGAAGAGAGAGAAAGTTGGTAGTAGATAACCAGCATAAACTCAAACAAGGTATGGATCAAGCAATGTCTGATAGAGAAGATTTTGGCTGATAAGTTCATTGAATTGTATCTTCTATGCTTCTATGTTTAATTTAATTCATTTATGTTTTTGTGAGGTAGGCTAGGTGCTCAATTTAGTTACTAGGAATGACTCCTCAATGTGTAACCTGATCTTGCGTATGCTATGATGGGCTCAGGACAGCATGGTGAAAGAAGAATGTCAGATACTGAGAAAGAGATCTGATTGGGGTGAGGATCCAAAGTTCAAACTCTTGCCCACGTACCCGAAGGAATAAATTGGGAGTACCTTTTTTTTTCTTACCAGACCCACAAAATTGAATGTTTCAGTTATAACTGCTTTCCAGCAGAGCTAAAAGAAAGCAAAAAAAAAAGGAAAATGATGGGAAGTTTGATAAAGAGAAAATGATGGCAAGTTTGATATAGATTCAAATTGAGATTTGGGCATTATCTTGATTACAAGTCGACGTCCTGAGGTTGAGTCCCACAAAGAAAAAGACTCAAGTCTGTTTCCAACAACGAATTGCTTGGAAGAAGATCGTGCTTGGTCAGTTTGTTGAGAATAAATGTTGATTTCCCAGAAGAATGTTATATTGTGATCCTCTAGGAATTGAACTCAAGAGGAGCATGTAAAGAATGCCTGGTGGGCTTTAGGGTTTGCATGCTGTTGCATAAGAGTGTGTATGTGTATTTGTGTGCGCGTGTGTGTTGAAAAATGTACCTCTTACCCGGTAACAAAAAATTAATAACTGTCATGTTTTTTGAATATTAACTTGGACTGGAAGTTAATAACAGATTGCTTGTTATTTTATTTTTTATGGTTGTCGTGGGACACTCCTCTAGGGGATTTACCAGATTATAGATAGCCTTCTAAAGGCATGACTCAAACTAAGTACGTGTGATATGTCTAAGTTTGAATGGCTGAAAGCCTTGGAAAGTAAGTGTTATTCAATGAGTTGAAAACGCACCGTTCTTAATGTCCTCTGTATATAGTATATACAAGAAAGACCAGATCTGACTCAAATTCTCGAGTATTTATAGACTAACTCAAACTCAATAAATTTGGAGAGCATTTTGTTATCTGTATTTCTCCCTTTTTTTGGGGGGGAGAGCGGAGAGTGTGTGTGAGAGAGTGAATAACGATGCTCTTTTGCCAGCCTATTAATGTCTAAATTACACATTTTGCCGGGCCTATCTATTCATGGGTAGGGACCCTTTCCTTTGTCCGCATGTTACCAAAATACCCAAAAGCATTTAAGGAATAATAAAGAAAAATAACTAAAAGAAAACAGGAAATCCCTGTGCATATGAATAATTATAGAAATATGCAGTGTTTTAAAACCCCACTAATCCATATCAGGAATTGGTTTGGATTGAATTAGGGTAAATTGTTTCATGCGGGCTGGACCGTATTTCTACATATGCGGTCCAGAAAGTGTAAAGCATCATCTTAAAGATGGATGCAAGTAGGCGTTCCATCTAAAAACAATGGAAACTAACTGTCCAAATATTTTTTTTTACTAGAATTATTATTTTTAGTTTTAAAATTTATTTATTTTTTCATATTCATTATCTCCGGATTACAAGTCCTTAAAAATTAAGTCTTAAAATCCATCTCAAAAATAGATTTAAATAAGAGGCTTGCATTTTTACATATGTGGGCTTGACAGCATAGAACAGGGTCCTTGAATTGGTTCGGGAAAGTATCGAAAACAGGTTGATCCCCCAAATCCCTCTCATCATATTTATTTTTGCTCTTTGTTTTATTTGAACCTACCTATTATTTTTTGGCATTGTATACAATGAGACCATTGGTCACAATTAATTACAGCCATCGGATATAAAATTTGATAAGTTTGGATGTGTCAAGTTCGAATTTTTTTTTGAAGTTTAAGTTTGGTCAATGAAATAATTACATCTACTCAATTTCACATTTAATAATCAAAATTAATGTGACCACCATGTACCAAAGGTACATAGTCTCATTCTATATTTTCTCTTATTTTTTTAGGTCCCTTTAATAAACTTATCTATTATTTATTTCTTGACATTTTTCTACTCCGATCCAGGATTTGAATAACGCCGGAAATATGGAAAGTCCAAATCGGGAACCCCAATGATCAGGAAAATTGAGGAATTTGGGTCCTCTAAAATATCTCCCAGTTCAAAAATCTATCCTGTACCGGGAAGCCAGCAAAACCCGCGAAATAAAAGAAAAAAAGGGGAAATATCGGACAGAGCTTTCGTTCCCCATCTTAGTTCGTTAGAATAGCGAGAGTCGAGATAAGCCTTTCAAGGGGAGTGAAGCTAAGAGAAAGGGCCGATTCCAGAGAGAAGCTAGAGAGCAAGAGGGAGGGCCTATGCCATTGAGGATGGCTCGTGTTGCTTCTCCAAGCTTCTCTGTCTACCCAACTCTGCCTACTGACTCCAAAGCAACACCCTCCCTCTCTCCTGTTACTTTCCTTCTTCCTCTCAGGTAATTGTCTCTCCACTCCATAAAATACGTGTTCTTTTGAACGTTTTACAGAGAGAGACCATCACTTCTGTCAAAGAGAGGGAGATCATCACTTCTTCTTTAGAGAGAGAGAGAGGTCATGATTTCTTCTGTCAAATTTCTCTTGTCATTTTCTGATGTCCGTTTTGCTTTACACAGTATTGCTCATCCAAATTAGTTTATCGTTTTTATAAATTCTGCTATTTATCATGGTCTCTGCAAATGCTGCTATGTATTAAAGTAACTCGTGTTCCAGGTTTTCTTTCCTTTCTAGATCATATTATTACATGGTCTTGGAGCTAATATTTCTCTGCATTTTTAACGTAAAAATGAAGTTTTTTTATGCAATTTCAACTTTGAAGTAAATATATTTCTCTGCAATTTAATCCATCTGAGAAATTCCTATATCAACTTCCACTCTCATCTCTTTGAGTTCCTTCTATTCCCTCCTTTGCTTCGTGTTCTTAATGTTAGGGCTTCTTTAGTTAATTATTACCGTCTTTGCTTCTCTTGAATTTAGCATTTGCTTATTGGATACTGATACGCTTTTTGCTCTGTTACTTAGGATGCTACTCTTTTTGAATGATTCTTGATACTCTTCTCTGATTCTTCTTAATTATTGCCCTAGGTATGGAAAGAAGAGAAACCAGTCTAGTCTTTTGAGGTGGCAATTTATACAGTGCAGGGTTGCTAAAGTTAAAGATGACCCTTCTTCTTCTTCTCCCTCCTTGATAAAAGAAGCTCACAAATACTTTGACCATGTCTTCATTACTGTTCGTTCTGGAGATGGAGGCCATGGTGCAGTTCTTACCATGCCCACGACCCAAAGAAACCCTACTAAAACTCTAAGTAGACATGAAAAAGAAGCGATGAAGAAGAAGAGAAGTCCTTCTTATAAAAGAGATTCGGATGGTTCTCTCATTTTACCAATGGGTGGCCATGGTGGAGATGTGGCTATCTATGCAGATGAAGGGAAAGATTCATTGCTTGAACTCCATAAGAAGAATCGATACAGTGCAAAGAGGGGTGGGAATGTGGATGCCATGGGTGTTTTGACATCCATGTTACATGATGGGAATGCAGCTCCTGCAATGCGTATTCCAGTGCCCATAGGTATGTGATTTTCTAAAACTGGGTCTCTGAGTTTTGATCTTGGGAACTTAGATTATCTTCTGAATCTGTAATTTAATGCTTTCCCTTGCAACTTCTGAATTGGTTTTCGTTGCTTTCTGTGAATTTTGTGCTTCACAGTGACAGTAGTTCTGTTATTTTATGGAATTGGGCCTCTTTGTTTTTGGGAATGTTTTTTATGATCCAATACCTATTTTTGTGTGGATTTGTCTGCAACATTTGAATTGTTTTTCTTTGCTTCCTGCAAATTTAGTGGCTTGCGAATTATTTTCCTGCAAATCTCATGCTCAGGCTCTTTATAAATGTCAACTTGGGTGGAAATTAAAATGGTTGTCTTGTTTTCTTTCGCAAATTTTAGCTTGGGGAAATTTGGAAATGTAAACTTGGTGTAAATCAAATTGGCGACATAAATGTGAATTGTTGTTGATGGCAACTATGGGCAGGTACTGTGGTGAGACGCAAGCAAGGTGGAAAGTTACTCGCTGACCTTGTGAATCCAGGTGATGAAGTTCTCGTTGCAAGGGGTGGGCAAGGCGGGGTGAAACTCCTTTTTCTTATTCTTTGGTAGTGGTTTAACATTGTATTTGCTACATGGGATTTTCCTTGAAAAAAAAAAAAAAGATTCATCATCATTTAGCCTTTTCCCAATTAATTGGGGTCGGCTACATGAATCTTGGTTCGCCATTCTGCTCTATTAAAGGTCATATCCTCAGTGAGGCCATAAGTCCCCATATCTTTTCGGACTACTTCTAACCACATCCTTTTGGGTCTACCCCTAGCCCATTTCAGTCATTCCACTTGAACTAATTCTCACCTCCTGACAGGTGTTATATTTGGTCGGCGCCACACTGGCCAGCCCACCTAAGTCTACTCTCTCTCATTTTATCTCCTATTGGTGCTACGCCTAAATTCTCTCGACTAGATTCATTGCGAATTCTATTCCTTCTTGTCTTGCCACTCATCCATATCAACATCCTCATCTCCATTACACTCATTCTATGAGTATATTGTTTTTTGTTCACCCAACTAGCAAAGCTGGTCTCACCGATGTCTTATAGAATTTGCCTTTCAGCTTCATTGGTATGCGGTGATCACATAAAATTTTAGTTGCACATCTCCACTTCGTCCACTCAGCTCTAATTTTGTGTGCGACATCTTCCTCGATCTCTCTATTTTCTTGGATTATCGACCCAAGACAAAAAGATTAGATTTCTTTATTTATTATTGATTCAGGCATCAACACTAACAATAATAATGATAATAACGACAACAACAACAACAATAATAATAATTTTTGAAGTTGTTAGCTTTGTAGAAAGAGCAAAGAGTACAAAAATTAGCAACACAAACATGGGCCAGTATCCAAAACTTACAATCAGGCCCACCAACACAAAAAGGGATTGGGCTACTCAAAAAAATGCTACACAACATATGTGAACATTAGGTACAAAAGGTTGGAAACCACATGGGAGTGAGGATCAGAATTATGCATTCACAGCTCCCATTGTTCCATTCATAGAGACTCCTTCTCTAGTGAGGTGGTCTGCTTCCGTGTTTGCCTCCCGCCAGATATAATTCCATGAGACGTGTATATCCCTACAAATATGAAAAATTTGGTCAAAAACGCTGAGTAGTTTCCACAGACATGGAGAGAGACCAGATGAAAAGGAGATGACATTCTTGGAGTCCTCTTCTATGACCCAGAGAGGGCCCCAATCTGGGTTGCAATTCTTGAGTCCTTCAAGGAGAGCTAGAGCTTCGGCCATTGTAGAGTCGGCTTTGCCAATAGGTAGGGAGAAGAAGAAAAGAATGTGGCCATTGTGGTCTTTTGAAATTGCCTCCAATTCAGGCTGGGCCTGGGTTGGCCAAGGAACTACCATTGAAGTTGAGTTTGGATTGCCCAAACTCTATTTGGTCTCCAAAGTGAGGCCCTGGTGTCCCTTGCGGGCCGTAAGTTAAGCATAGCACGCCAGTTTTGAAGAAAATCAGCCGAGGAAAAGTGTTTGAAGTAACTGTGATCGGTGGCCCAGAATATGACCATGGATAGGACCCTGTTGTTCATGTCTGCTAGGGTGGTTTTGATTCCTCGAAATGTTCTGTTGTTTCCTATTTCGCTCCATCCATAATTCCATATTACCCACAGACTTGCTGCCACATAAGCTTTCCATAGGAGGTCCCCGATTTCGACCAAGGGCGTGGGTAGAAGGATGTGAAGATCTGAGGAACTGATTGGGGTGTTACCCATGACAACTCAAAGCGTCTAAGCAGGGCACCCCACAGGGCATGAGCTACAGCACAGTGGAGAAAGAGGTGTTCATTGGTTTCTTCCTCCTCCAAACACGACGCATCTGTTGGGAAATGGAAGGCCCCTCCTCTGAAGTTGGTCAATAGTAAGCACCCTCCAGGCTAAGGCTATCCAGGAAAATACCTGGATCTTGGGTGGGATAAAGTTAAGCTACGCTTTGGAGCAAATAGCATGGGATCCCTCAGGAAGGATGGATTGCGACAGGAGTAGACGGTAGAAAGAGGAGACTGAGAAGAGGCTGGAGCGGCTGAGGATCAGATGACTTTGTCGCTGCTGGTACAAGAGAAGGGAGATGAATGGAGGAGTGCAGATAGAGCCAAGAAGTCTTCCATCTCATCATCCACAAGGGACCTTGCTTAGCCATGCCTCGACTGCTGCTTACTCGATCAGCCAAGAAGCATTCGACCTCTTTCTCAAATGAGGTTATGGTGTTTGGAGGTTACGGGTGGAAATGTTCCTTGTCTCGTCACCATGGTCTGCATGATTAGGCTTGATGCAACTTGTGGGTGAAGCTTTAGCCTTGCTGGGAGACCCGAGAAGCTGCCTTCCCAACCTCTTATTATGGGTTGGGGAAGGGCCCATCATACTTCCGTATGAAGTTGGGATTCGAAGCTTTGGAAGAACCCACAATTTCCAACTGGTTTGCCATTGTGGCCTAGAAGTCCCTATCTAGAAGATACAACTTGGGGTAGAGGTCCTTTAAAGGGGTATCACCTATCCAAACATTCGACCGGAAGAGGATTCAATTGCCTTCCTTGGGGTGAAATTGTATGTTGGCAGTGAAGGCCTCATAGCTTCGTTATATGGACCTCCAGGCACCCGAAGGTCAGCTGGGGATCAGGAATCTAGGAATCCAACATGAGTTATCACTTCAGTATTTGTAGTGTAGTACTGTCCACCACATATGGTTGTCCAAAGTGGTGAAACACCACCACCACTTGCCAAGGAGGGTGAGGTTGTTCAATTTGAGGTTTCTGATTCCAAGGCCTCTTGCATTTTTGGGATGTTAAACTCTATCCCACAAATTAGGTGAATCCCAGTAAATTAGGTGAAACTTTTTGTTCCCCCCTCACCTGACTAGCGGAAATTCCTCATGAGTTGGTCGAGTGGAGCCACTACTGAGGACGGCATGTGAAAGAGTGACATCTGGAAGATTGGAACATTTGAAAGGGTGGATTGATCAACCATGAATCTGCCACCCAACCCGCAAGCCTCCTATCAAACTTATTAACAATGTGACTACAAAGGCGCTTTTTGGGCTTGCCGATGCATAACGGTAGGCCCAAGTACGTGGTTGGGATGTCCTCGACCTGGCATCCCCATCTATTAGCAAAATACTTTTTGTGGTCTTCGATGCATACCCCCATCATCTTAGTTTTGGCCATATTAATACGAAAACCAGTAGCTATCTCGAATAGTTTGAGAAGAGGAAGGTATCCATATCTGTTGAACATCGGCATCACAGAACAAGAGAGTATCGTCGGCGTATTAGAGGTGGGACACCACAGGTCCCTGGCTACTGGATTTGAAGCCCATTAGCATTCCCCCCTCGTGCAACATAGCGATGTACCTGCTAAACACTTTTTGCCACTGTAGCAAACAAGAAGGGGGACAGGGGATCTCCTTGCCTGAGTCCTCTGGAGGAGTTGACAAAACCTGTGGGGGAGCCAGCCCTTGATAAGGATGGAAAACAGAGAATTTGATATGCAAACACGAACGCATCTCCTCCACCTTGTGCCAAAACCCATTCTGAAGAGGTTTCGTCAAGATGGCCCTGTCCACATGGTGGTAGGCCTTCTCCAATCAAGTTTGATGTTCACACTAGGGCCTTTGGATAGGTGTCTAGAGTGTGGAAACTCATGAGTGATTAGGGCACCGTCGAGGATACGGCGGTCTTTAACAAAGGCCTCCTGGTTTTGAGAAATGACCCGGCCCAAAACTTCACTCAATCGAAGAGCGAGGACCTTGGAAAATATATTGTAGGAGCTATTGATGAGGCTGATGGGGCAGGAGTCTTTAAATTCTTCAGCCCCTTCCATTTGGGAATCAGGGCAATGAATATCGCATTCATTCCCTTGTGGATGATACCTCTCTCATGGAACTCTTCGAAGAATGCAAGGATGTCAGGTTTGAGAGTATCCCAAAAGGTGTTGAAGAGCCCTGTCCTGGGCAAGAGACTTAATGACCTTAAGTCCTCTGAGAAAGGGCATTCCAGGCCAACTGTTGCATCCAGGGCGATGGTATGGAAGGACAAGTCGTCCATTCTTGGCCTGGGCCCAGACGAGGTGGGTTGTCAAATATATGGTCTCCTACTTTGACATGGGAGATAGCATTATCCCTTCTTCAACACTTAGCGATCTTATGAAAAAATGCAGTATAAGAGTAATATTTTTGTTATACTTTTGCCCTAGTTCTTATGAAAGGATGATTTTATATATGGCTTGAGTTTTAATGTGAGAATGCCATTTGATCTTTTCTGTATTTGTTTTTGTGGCAGATTAGCTTGTTAGAGATGCCTGAACATAGAAGAAAAACGTTGATGTCCCTGACCACTAACGTCATGAGGGATGAGAATGACAAGGTGAGTGTAATGAGCATTTATTTTCAGAGTTTCTTTCCTTATCATCTCTTTCTACTGGACCAATGATTATATCTTGGCTTACTTGAAGGTAATCTTTTACATATTTCAGTTTTTCTCCTCTAAAATTTTGAGATTTTATCTTATTGCTTGAATTGTGAATGTGAATATAGACCAGCCATGTAGTTTATTTAATGAGAGTCACCTACCACATGATGCTATCATTGTCATGCTTTTTCACTGCAATAGTTTTGGAAGCTGAAATATGTTAGTGTAGATTCAGAGGCAGGGTCCATCACTTGATTTCCTTTAGGAGTCTAATGGTCTCTTCAGCAATGGCACTACTAAGGAAGATATGTGTCATTCTGGTGTAGGTTTTGGTTCTTGGTCAACCCGGACAGGAGGTTACCTTGGAGCTAATATTGAGGGTAGTAGCTGATGTGGGTCTTGTGGTATGTGTTAATTTCAGTGTCATGTTACTTTCTAATCCGGATAAAGTGCTAGTATTAAGATTTAGGAGCGGCTAACCTTTGTTTTGGGATCTGTTATGTGCTGCATTATCACAATACATATTATATAATTATTTCTACTCATAATTCAGCTCCTGCCACATGCAGTCCTCTTTCCGTGCTGTAAAAAACTGTAATTGTCCTCTCTCTCTCTCTCTCTCTCTCTCTTCGTTCGTCGTCGTCGCGCGCGCGTCGCTCGTCCGTCCTCTCGTCGACCGGACCGACCGTAACTATTAGTTAGTTACGTACTAACGTACGTACGTCGTACCTTACT